AACTTTCGCGCTATCTAGTTATTCTTGCCTTTGAAGGATTCTAACTTGAGCTTCGGAGCCCTTACGCCGGGTTCTCCCCGGAGCTTCTCTTCTCCTCCCGTTTCAGGTCCCTGTTACTCATTTCAGAGGCAAGATCATCAACAGCTAAGACCGGCCAGATCATACATCATCAATTTTCTTAATAGGTTTTCAGATTTGCATATGTTATCAGAACTTTAATTCTCTGTTCATCGGAAATAGTAATATGCATTCTTACAAATTTTATTGTTTTGGACAAAGATAGCAATACCGAAATCAAGAGACAGATTAATCAGACCGAACCCGGCAGCATAATTGTTTGTTCGTCGCCGACTAGCTGCGGACCCACTCGATATGGAACAATGGGGGAGGCTGTTCGGTTCTCTGCAAGAATCAGCAATGGCGATGGACGGGTCTTGTCTGGCTCCCTTTAAGATTCTTGTTTGGCAAGAATTGTTGTTCGTTCTGTTGAACATCTTTTTCTCATGCATTTGGTGCATTTTTGCAGATTTGGCTGGGAACCTCCCCCACTGCAGAAATGGCTGCTAGGGCTCATGACGTCGCTGCATTGGCTCGAGGTCCGCCTGTCTCAACTTCGCTAATTCCACGTGGCGTTTGCTTGTTCCCGTCTCCGTCGATGCCAAGTACATTCAGAAGGCTGCAATGGAGGCTGAGGAGGCATTCCGACCTCAGGAGTCGGATGCGATGTCGTCCGCTGATGATGCAAAGCCGGAGAATGCAACGGCAACGTCGTCGGAAAACGTTTTGTACATGGACGAGGAAGCAATTTTCGGGATGTCGGGATTCAGTTGCTCCAACTTAATCGACTCGATGGAAGAGAGGGGGACAGTGGGGACGGAGAAGAAGAAAAAGAAATCAACGAGAAAAACCAGTGAGGGGAGATCGAGGGAAGGATTTCATGTTGTTGTCTTTAAATGCGAGAGGAAGGGGAAGCAGGGGCAATTCCGACATTTTGAAATATTTTATTGCTTTTTTAACAATTAATCTGAGGCAATTTCATATTTTATCAATTTTCTGTCTGAATTACTGACGGAAGGGAGAACGTTGTCGAGATCTTTAAAAGTTTAAGAGAGATTTTTACTAAATTAAAAATAAAAGAGAGAGATTCTTATGATTCCTAAAAACTTTAGGAGAGATTTTTGTATTTTATCCTTTTTTATACTATTTCGAACTCTGGCCTTTAGAGCAGATCTATTAAAATTTTGACAAAAGACCACTCTGAGTCTGAACCCACACCCAAGAAGACTATAGTTGGCCACATCATGTACGTGTACGCCTCTTGGTGCCTTTTGGGTTTTTATCATTATTATTATTATTTTTTTTTTTGCAAAAAAAAAGAGAAGCAGCCTCATAGTTGATGATCATTTGACCTTTGCAAGCAGTATATGAGCAGTTTTGTTGTAACTTCTATTTACATGAACAAAAAGATATATTAGCAAAAAAAGAGGTGAGTGTCATGAGTTTTGCCCATAACAATCTCTAAAACAACGAAATTCAATTGCAGATTGGAAATATTTTTCATTCCCGTACATGTATTTTAAATTCATCGACTATACTAATGAAAATCCCCCGGTTGGAACTGTGTTTGAATTATACTAATGGAGTTGTTAAGACCAGATTTATAAATTCTGATCATGCCACCATTCAACCTGTCACAAATGTTCAGAAAAAATATGATGGATTAAAAAAAAGGTACAAAATAATATTAAAGGGACAAACTTTGTTGAGACAAATAATTTTTTTTTTTTTTATAAAATGAAAGTTATAATGAATGACAAACCAAATCTTAATGTTTATGATGTTGATTTTCAGGAAATGAAAGAAGGTGATCAGAATGAAAATTGGCATGAAGGTAAAGAAAATCCAGCATGGGGAAGATTACGGGAATGATTCTGATCTTCTTGGATGGGACAATATGGGTCCAAACAATACTCAGGTGAACAATGAAACTACTAGAACGTCAGGGGTGCGAGTAGAACAACAAAGAGGGGCATGCTTGGGGTTAAAATTTCTTGAGCAATCGTTGTGTATAGGGGTGAGAAAAAAAACTGAAAATTGAAACGACCGAAACTGAACCGAAAAATTAGTTATGGTTCAGTTTCGGTTCGATGTTTTTAAAAAACCGACTGTTTCAGTTCGGTTTTGGTTAACTATTTAAAAAAACATGCGGTTAATCGAACCGACCAATATATATAGTAATATATTTTATATAGTATTATATATTATATTATATATTTTTTAAATCTAATGTTCAGACTGTCGAACTGAGAGTCCGAGACTTTCAGATTCGCCAGTCTGGCAGACTAGCAACCAGACTAGCAAACAGCTTGACAGTCTGAATCATCTAACACCCGTCGTGCATCCCTTTCTTTCCCTCTCTCTCTCTCAGTCTCGCTCTGAGCTCTCTCTCTCTTGCCTCTCAGTCTCTTTCTGAGCTCTCTCGCCTCTCAGTCTCTCTCTGAGCTCTCTCTCTTGCCTCTCAGATTCTCTCTCCAAGCTCTCTCTTTCTCGCCTCTCAGACGCGATCTCTCCTGCTTCAGCGGCACTGGAGACTCGGCTGCGGGTTAGAGGCTCTACTACATCTTGGCGACACTAACGAAGTGGTGATCTCAATTCTCTTCAACTGTGTTTTTCCTTTTTTTTTTTAATTTTAAGGACATAAAAAAATCAAAAAACTAAACCACGGTTAACCGGTTGCACCGGTTTGGTTAAACGTAAAAACCGAATATATCGGTTCGGTCCAGAAAAATACCCCAGGATTCGCTTAAGCGAACCATGAGCACCCCGTTGCGTAAACGTTGGACTTTTTTTTTTTTTTTTTTTACTTTGGGCATTCCTTGAAGAAATAAAACACTAGGTGATGAGATGGATTATTGGGTTTACTCAGGTGAAAATCTTGGGAAAAGGGAGATTATTCAAATTCATGTTGATTGGTTTGAGTGGAATTTCAACTTGGAAGAATAACGAACAAGAAGAAAAAAAGAGGAGATGGCCAAAAACAAGGACGACATAAAATATAGAACAGCTTGGGCGAAGTTATTGGAAGATGAGATTTTAAGGGTGAGATACAAGACAGGCACCCCCATTGAAGGAGGCAAGATTGCTGATTTTGGACCAGTTGATCTCTTCTTTGGTGCTCGTCACATTTCCGACTCTGGACCAGCCGGTGAATGTGATGCCACCACCCAGCAGTCACAAGTACACTATACCGACAAAGATAATTCTGACCTCAATAAAGAGAAATTGGATGTGGTCTATCACAACCAATTAAGCTATATGTTGTACTTTTAACGCAATTGTTCGGTCGGAGAATATGACCCACCATCGATCGTTTGAGATTTGACCCTGTGACTATCATTTATCTGATATCCCCACAAATGATGGTTTCTCATAGTCTGAGCTGGACGATCACAGGAGTCTCCTAATAAACAAGGTATTTGGCTAGAAGACAGCACAATGGGGTGGATGGTCGAGGTGTTGACGAAACATTTTATGCGAGTGTGGTAGATAAGGAAAATTAAATGATACGTGAAGGGCATTTTTAAATGACGCGATTTGAAGTTTATAGAGTAGTAATCTGGAATTTTCCTATTTAACGATGGAGATGGCTAAACAGAATAAAATGAGGAAACTGAATTCATAGTTAGGATAAGGCTTGGGTAAAGATGTTGGTGAAGAAATTTTACAAGTGGCATATTCATAGCAGTTCTAATCTGCATGTAGCCAGCCCTTAATTTGGCCACGCTGATAGACAAAAGCTTGCGGGTGATCCAATCATATATGAATGTTCCAGAGATCTCTACTACTCTTATCTATGAAGCCTGATGTTATGAATCGATCCCCTAGTTTTTCTTCCTCTAGGGACCTGGAGATGATCCCATCACTACCCAATTTATCATTCTCAAACTCTGCCCTTTCAATCAAGTGTTCCACCAAATGCTTTGTGGATGTGCACATGAGGTGATCGATGAAATGAGGGTATTTCAGTAAATGAATTCAAAAGGACGTTGCGGGTTGCGGCCACCCCAACTCTTACTCCCCTTTGCCCCCGTTGCGGACAGATGTTAAAGACTTCACAAGTAGATGATGTTGAAGATAGATTACACACCGACTTGGGGAAGGAGGGCAGAGAGACACACACACAGTAACAAAGACAGAGAGAGGGAAGTGATCTAGCCATGATGGAAGAAGGGAAGTTGGAGCTTATTCTGGTTCCTTTGGGTGTGGTGGTGATGGCGATCTATAATGGGTGGCTTCTGATGACTATCCTGCGTACCCCAGCACGAACCGTCATAGGCCTAAACGCAGACAGCAGGGAACAATGGGTCTCTTCCATGATGTCTGTGAGTCTTCCCTCTCTTCTTTTCTTGTTTTTTGGTTTTATGTTTATTGGGGTTTAAATGTAAAGAAAGGATAGAGAATTTTGCTTTTTGTACTATGGCGATCATAGTCTTTTGCTTTTTGTATGTGGAAGGAGAGAGTTAGAACAGACTAACTTAAAATCCTTGCATGTAAAGAAAGGATAGAGAATTTCGCTGAATTGACACTCTTTGAACCCAATTAGATTGTTTCTTAGACCATAGGAAAGAAAATAACTTCTGTCTGGAACTGAAGTGAAGTGTTAGTAATACACTAATACCATGTTGCCTAATAAGGGAGGTTTTATAATGATCAAAGTGTGGTGGATTTTCGATCCTCCCAACTTAAGGACATAATCTAAAGTGAACAAGCACAAGCCAGCACAACTCAGGTTCTGCCTGGGCCTGTGTGGGTTGCCTGGGTTTCAAGGTCTTCTTGTTCATGTTCTGCACCTCTGTAAATGGAATAAAAGAAAAGCACATACAAATTCTCATTGATAGTACATGCATGTCATCTCATTTCACAAATAAGATAGTTATAGTGTTATATATTTACACAATGCATAAATACTCGATGTATATATTATATGGATTATGGAGTAAATATTTATACAAAGTTAGGTGGGCTCAGGAAACAGAGGTCTCAACTCTCAACTGAATTCCAGCCTCAATTGAGATCAAAATCATGTTTCCTTGCAGAGAGAGAGAGAGAGAGAGGTGAAGCACTGTTGCAGCTTAGTTAAGAGAATGTAATGAACATGACTGTTACTGGAGAGTAGAGACATCTTTTAACTCTGGAACATGTAAATAAAATCGACAGCCATGGCACGTTTATCTGATACTCTTCTGCAACTTTATCAGGATCCACTAAGGAACGGCATTTTGGCAGTTCAAACAATACGTAACAACATAATGGCATCTACAGTACTGGCAACGGCTGCGATCACTCTCACTTCAATCATCGGTGTGTTTGTGAGCAGCAACGCAAACCCATCCACTTCAGCAACAGAGTTGGTTTATGTTAGCCAGACACAGCGCATCTCTTGGATCAAGTACTTTGCTATCTCCCTCTGCTTCTTTGTTGCTTTCCTCTGCAATGTGCAGTCTATCAGATACTATTCCCATGTCAGCATATTGGTTACATTGCCTACATTGAAGGACAGAAGAGAATCAATCGCATACGCTGCGAGAAGCTTTAACCGGGGAAGCTACTTCTGGTCTCTTGGATTGCGCACTTTCTACATGTCTTTCCCTTTCTTGCTCTGGATTTTTGGGGCCATACCCATGTTCGTTTGTTGCTGCATAATTCCTTGTACACAATATTTCCTGGATACAACCACCAGAGTTACAAGGAACCTTCATAGTTCCAGTTTTAGAGAGGTGACCGTGAAAATGGATGTTAATGAATCAGCCAGCAGCCAACCTTTAATTTTGTCCAGAAATTAGCATATTGTTCATTAGTTGGGTCTTCTTAGACCATATAAATTTCAATGTTTTAAATGTTGCTTCATTATTGTTCTCTCCTAGTTCCTTTTTCTAGTAAGAAACTAACAACAAGTTAGTCTCCGGTTGAATAGGTCCCATATAAATCAGCATAGTTAGATGGGTTTTGTCAGCTTTAGCATTCTTCTTCTACCAAGTTCCAAGCTAGGGCTATTGGCCATCGAAATAAATGGAGCATATTAGAGGGTTAATCTTCTGGGGATGCTAATTTTTGGTCAAATTCTAAAGAAAACATGAGATAATGGAAAGTGTTTGGGGTTAAGGTCCATTTAGAGGTCTTCTGCCATTAAGACCCACCATTTATTTAGAGCTTCAGTTGAATATAAATTCAATTAGGGTTGAAAAAGAATATTACCCAATTCGTGCTAACTTTGAGATGTTCCTTCAAGGTTATAGCTTATAGGTAAACTCATGCTGGGTAAGAAATTTTGGTCTCATTCACCAAGTAATTTATGTTTGAGTGAGAATTGCACTTCTCAAAGCCAAAGGAACAGAGTTCCTGTATACCGAGAACGGCGAGAAGAGAAGATATTTGTAGGATCTACAGCTCCAACTGTGATCTGTGCAGCCTATTTCTTAACTTTTGAATCGATCCATGGGTAGGGATGGCAATTTCTATATTGATGGGCTGGTTTTTAATTTATGTTTGAAAATTGATTTTGGGGCAGTGACGGGTTTTGGGATTTTAAACTCATACGCCCATACGGGTGACAAATGAGACATAATGGATTGGATCATTGTTTTAAAAAACATAGAACTTTTGAGGCATGAGACATAAGCATCACAACTTTGAATGAGGTTTAAGCATCATACTTCAGGGGTGAAGTGTAGCTTGAGGTGCAAAAAGGGATAAGCCTTGTATCAATCACTACTTGGTGATGTAATGTAAAAAAAAAATATGTATTTTATGCATTTTTATAGTTTAAAATATATCAAAAAACCACTTCAACAATTATGGGCTAAATGAATAGAGTAAAAATGAAAAACCAGAAAAACCAGTAAATCAAGTTTTATTAGTTTCTCCTAAGGTCGGTTTGGAATTGGAATGGTCTATTGCTCTCATCAGTTTGGTTTGGACTAGACCTGTTCATGATCTGGGTAGATCGATGGACTGGCTCAGCCCAACCCATCCTAAGTTAGGCTTGGACAAAGTTTTAAGCCCATGGGCTCGGGCTTGGGTTTTAAAAGTCGGGCCTGACTATTTTTCGGGCTAGGCTCAGGCTTTCCCAAATAAGCCCGACCCGAGCCCGACCCAATATTAAATATATAGTAGAAATATATGTCTTAATAATATATTATACAATAGTAAAATTAATAGCAAAAATATTGTATATTTTAAATGTATAAGATATTATATAATATACAATTAATATATTATAAAATACATCTCAAAGTCGGGCTTCAAGGTCGGGCATCGGATTTTATATAGGGCCGGGCTCGGGCTCAAGATCTAGGTTTTGATGGTCGGGCTCATGCCTGGTGATTTTCAGTTTGGACTAGAGTCGGAATCGAAATTAGAATTAGTTGGAATGGATTCTCAATCACAGGGGAGGGGGAGGGAATATTCTCTCAAAATGGGGGAATGCCATTCCACCACTAGGGATGGGAAAAGGATTCCAATTCCACCCAACTAAACAGTTGTAATTGGAATGTGATGGTGCGCAATCCGGCCGGTCCTATCTGTCAACGACCTTGCCTCTTAACAGAGCTATAGGGAACCTGAAATGGAGAAGATGAGGAAGCTCCAGGGAGAACCCGGTGTGATTGCTCCGAAGCTCAAGTTAGAACTCTCTCAAAGGCAAGATAAAACCAGATGGCGCAAAGTTCACATACCTTGTTCTTGGGGGGTAGGGAGCCTTTTATAACCACCTCACGCACTCACTTCTAAGCTTCTGTCAGATTGGGTATGATTATCTCTGAGCTCCTGCCAGTTCGGGTGTCATCCCCTCTACTGGACAGAACCGCCACTGCTCTCTTTGTTGGAGCTGCCTCTGCGACTGGCGATGACGGTGGAAGGTGGCAGTGGCAGGTGGCCATTGAAGTGTGGCTGTCAAGCGTCAGATCCCAAGTCAGTCAGGTGTGCCGCCCTTGGATACGGACCTCCTCGGTGTCAGGTATGGTACGTTTGTTCAGTCCGATGTCTTGGAGGCGAAGTGCTGGAGTGGTGAGCGAGGTGAAATCTTGAGTTCAGATAGGGGAGTGTCCCGAACTGCCATGGGGCGGGCCAGTTCGGGTTGTTACCTTGGCCCATGGCATGGCACGAGCCCACGTAGGCTCCAACCATATATTATATACAATAATTATATAATATATAATTTTATTATATTATTTCATTTTATTATTGCATATATAAACAATTGTATGCACCAAAATTCATATAAAATGAAATTTTAAGATATTTTTATTTTTTATCTATTTTTTAATTTATGTTAACTTTTTCATTACTTTTTTTTCAAAATTTTTATAAAATATGGATTAGTTTGGTTCGTGGCTTGGCCTAAACTAAGTCTTGGCCTGTAGACTAGCCCAACCCGTGGCACGATATAGGCTTATATGGGCTTGAGGCCAAGGGTTGTGCTAGGCCAACCGCCTAATGTATCCCAGGGAGGGAAGCACTGTCCGCACGGCACGACTCAACATGATCCGATTGTAAATAAAATGAGAGATAAAGGTAATTTTTAATAAATATGAAAAATGTAGAAATTTAATAACATCATTGTAAATAATTAGCTATGGCACCATTGTAAATAATTACATGTTTAGTATAGAAAAGAACAAGTTATGATTGTTTTTTGTTTTTATTCAATGACATCATTATGATTAATTAAATTTATAATAATAATGGTTAAAAGTATGAAAAAGGAAAAAATATAAGATTTCATTTAGGTTAAAATGCACCACAATTGGACCATATAACCTTTTGCTTTTAGGTTATAAATATAAAAATTAATATAAATGGTGTGAATTAATTTGCAAGAACCATCAACACTAAGCATTTTGATGATCCTGAAGTCACTGAAGCTTGTGCTTTTAGAGTATATGTAGGCTAATTGCATCTTTCTCGTGACTTAAAAGGCCTCTTACATTCATTTATAAGTACACACATATATAGAGGGTAATTAAAATCTTGTTGGACGTCATGGGATGTTTCTTGGCGGCCTCACTATGTGGTTGTTGCTAACTATATATATAGGGACCTTCTGCAAAGTTTTGATTGTTTCCTTGGTTTCCTATGTTCCTCAAACAAGCAATGGAGTAACTCATGTTATCTCAAAATTTGGTTGTAATTGTTCTAGGACTTTTACCTAGTCCTCTTCCTGATTTTCTCAGGCCCATATTGGGTGATGTTAAGTTGCAATGATAATGCCTATTGTCTCTTTCAAATAATAATAATAATAATAAATGTGAGGAGCATAGGACTAGGGAGGGTTTTGCATTTTCATGTATGGAGAGGATTTGGATTTTAAAACTCCAATCTGCTGTAAGTTTTGGAGAAGGTATGGGGTGGAAGGTTTGGAGAGGAAAGTGTCTAGAATTTAGAAAACCCTCCCCCAACCTGCCTCATTGCTATCCCTGCCATGGGCCTTAGGCCCTACTACATGATGAATTTAAATTGTTTTCAATTTTTTGCCTCCATGTCTACATGACGAATTTAAATGATTTTCTCAATTAGGGTTATAATTGGATTGGACTAGGGTCAGATTTAACAAAATCTGAATCCGATCCAATAATTGAAAACTTGCATTCGAATCCATTTCGAAATATGGTTAGACTTGAAGACCTCATATTCAAATTTAAATCCTAATAGACAGACTGAATTCAAATTTAATTTGATTTCGTTTTAATTTTTTTTAATACAAAAAAAAGTAAAAAAGCTAATTACTTTTTAACTTTTGTATACGATAAACTAATGTAAATATAACATATTAAAATTATTATATATAAATTCATATATAACATAATAAATAAAAATATATTTTTTTTTATAATTTTCAATATAACTATATAAAATTTATATATTAAAATCACTAAATAGTATAATATCATCGGATTTGAATTTTAATGAGATCGAATTAAGTCAAATCTAAATATGACAAATTGCATAATCCTAATCCAATCCGATTATTCATCTAATGTAGACTACAAAATTCAATTAGATTCCATAAACATATTAGATACATAAACATAATCAGAACCTGAGATAATTGGGATTTTTTTTGGGATTTTTATGGTTTAGTCCAAGGTTCAAAGTATCGGCATGTATTGGCCCGTATTGGTTGATACATATCTTTCTGGGATCCCTCTGATACACTCCTATAGTGGGTGTATGGGGGTCTGACCGGTTCAGGGGGTGGAGGAATTCTAAACCGACCCCCCTGAACCAGTTTTAGAAAAAAAAATAAAAGTAAAAAAAAAAACAGTATCGATTCACTCGATATGCCCCTATTGGCGTATCGATATTTTGAACCTTGGTTCAGTCCACCTCAGAATTGGTCAATTTTTTCCCAATATATTTACAAAAATGTACACAACACTTCACTGCAAAATTCTGAATTCTATTATAAACTTACAATAATTCAAAATGTCAAACACCCCTATACTAAAAACCAATATCCAGCCATGTATTACATCAATTCCAAGTTGACACCTACTCCAACCGTAAAGTGGGGCTAAAAATTTTGAGAATGGGCTGAATAGTCATTCTCCCATATATTTATGCCAAGTTCCCCTTATAAACACCATTCCCTGAATTTGACATTTTCCCCGTGATATTTACCTATTATGAATTTTTAGGTAGAGTGAATGATAAAAAATTAAAACCCCCAATCCCCTATTTGTTTTAGTAGAATAGATAATTGGGATTCGAACGTCGGATGGGGCCGCGGATTTTCGAGTATCTACTCTCGGAGTTACTGCTCCACCACCAAATGGTTAATGGATGCGGACGTCAACTGAGGTCATCAATTGAAGCTACTTTTGAGTTAATAAACTCACAATAATGTTGCAAGTTGCGTCATGTAAACATTCTTAGCTGTCCTTTTCGACGTAATGCGTCTCGAAAACGTCCCACAGCACATACCAATCGTATATTGGGAATATCTTCCAATACAAATACAAGAAATATTTTCAATGCACGCTGAGATGTGCTTGTGGGGTGTGTTCTGTTGGGGCAGATGTGAACTCTTCCCACTTCTCCTTTTCCCTCCACTGTTGAGCGCGCACAGATATGTTAGGAGTTGGGACCGTGACGCAGAGAGAGAGTTAGAGCTGAATAAGCAGTGATGGAAGAAGGGCAACTGGACCTTATTTTGGTTCCGCTGGGTGTGTTGGTGATGGCGATCTATTACAGCTGGCTTCTAAGGATTATCCTGCGCAACCCAGAACGAACCGTCATAGGCCTAAACGCAGCAAGCAGGGAAAGATGGGTCTCTTTCATGATGTCTGTCAGTATTTCCTCTCTTCTCTCCCTCTCTCTCCTTATCCTGTTTCCCCCTCTCTTCCTCTGCTCTTTTTTTTTTCTATTTTTTATTTTATTTTTAAGAAAAAGTTTGTTGAAGATTTAATGCTTTGTACTTTTTTCTTAATTTTATCTCCTGCCCGTTTTTCTTTAAATTGGGTTCATTTAGTCTCTGCTTTCGTATGTTCGGGGATAGAGAATGTCGGGTATCATGTTCATGATTGATGAAGGGAAATGCTAGAGCTACGCCCAAGTGGTTATTACTGTAACTAAATTAATGCTGAGGTAGCTTTAGCACAAGCGTTAATGGTCTGTGAAAACGAATCAGACAAAGTTTGGCATTTAATATTCATAATAATTAGACTGGTTTCAATGTTTTTCTCTTTTATTTATTTGTACCACTTGGACTAATAGCGTTTCATATCTTATTTTATTTTTTTCTAAACAATTACTTAGCAGAGTTAGGTTGTGTTTCGATAAGCTTCAAGATTTGGGGCTTAAAAAGTGTTTTGGCTCCACATTATAGTGTTCTTAAAGGCAATTCTTGCTCAAAACATTTCTGTTTCCCACCACAGTCCAAAGCTCAAAATCAAAGGTTGTCCTCTGCAGTTTAAGAAGTGCAATTTATTAGTACAACATTTTGGCTAATTAATCATTGTAACGGGGAAAATATTCTTATGGTGATAACTTGGGGTTGGGGCTAACGGGCTAGGAGAATAATCCGCCTCAACTCAGCCTCAATTCTAACTGTTGGGTCAGCTTAACGAAACCTGTCCCACCACTCTGCTCCATCAGGAACCTTGTTTTCTGTCAAATTATAAGTCTTTAGATCGGTGTTGCCACTTTAAACCACATCTTTGGTTTTCTCCAAACTCTAGAAAAGGAGTGTAGGAAAGCCAGACTCTCATTGGTCGATTTTACAAAGAATTGATCAATCTCAGTGACTTTCTTTCCTCCTCAGTCCAACCCACTGCCACCATAGGTAGTAAGCCTCCCAAACAGCCAAACTTAGCTTTTATCAACAAATAAATCTTTATAAATTGGTGTACCATGTAAATCTTGCTGGGTTCTGTTGTATTGCATTCATTGAGATTAACTGTGATTCATTGCACAACAGTAGGAAACCAAACTAGACTGTTTTTTATTATAATGATGTTCTAGAGGACACTCACGTTGGGAAATTGTCGTAGGATTCTAAAATATTTGGGGTTGAAGTGGTAAGAAATAATTAAGGGCTCATAATTTAACAGAATTGCAAAAGCGGGATTCATTTAACCAACCCCATATACTTGGGAGGAGACTTAGATGATGATGATGATGATGATTGGGGTTGCCACTGCAAAGCCTCTCTTCTGTATGATGTGCTATAGGTTATTTGAATCAACTAATGAACTGCCAGTATTCAACTAGAAAATCAGTTGATCAATCTTATAGAAATTTTCTTGTAGATCGAACTGGGTATGGTGGGCAAAAATGAATTTCTGGGCTTGAACATATTCCAAGTCATCTAGCTGATTTAGTTTGTTCAGGTTATTGATTCACAGAAGACACCATTAACTATGGAACCTGTAGCTTAATTGACAGAGATGCATGCTTGATATTCTGCTACAATTTTGTCAGGATCCCCTGAAGAATGGCGTTTTGGCAGTTCAAACAATACGAAACAACATCATGGCATCTACATTACTGGCAACAACTGCCATCACTCTCAGTTCCATCATTGGTGTTTTTGTGAGCAGCACAACAAATCCATCCATTTCGGCATCAGAACTGGTTTATGGCAACAAATCACATCTCCTCTCTTCGATCAAGTATTTTTCCATTTTGCTCTGCTTCCTTGTTGCTTTCCTTTGCAATGTGCAGTCCATTAGATACTATTCCCACGTCAGTATATTGGTTACATTGCCTCCCTTGAAAGACAGAAGAGAATCAATTGCATATGTTGCGAGAAGCTTCAATAGGGGAAGCTATTTTTGGTCCCTTGGCTTACGAGCATTCTATGTGTCATTCCCTCTCTTCCTCTGGATTTTTGGGCCCATACCCATGTTTGTTTGTTGCTTCGTGATGTCTAGTACACTGTATTTCTTGGATACAACTACCATATTTACACGGAAGCTTCACACTTCTTCCTTCAAAGAGGTGAGAGAAGCAAATGACACTGAATCTGTTCCTCAAGCTTCCTAAAATCTGCTGAAAACTGTAACATTGTTCGCTTGTTAGTTGATCTTCACTTAGATAGTATTGTATACAAATAAAGGATTATGATGGTAAATTGTGCATTCTTTTTTCTAGTGCTTGTTACTAATCACATATAGTGCTTTATTCTAATCCTCTTCTTCCATATATATATATTGGCATTTTTGTTATTTGGGTTATTATCTAAACTTCACTTTTCCCCATTTTTCTTAAACTTATCCCGACTTTTCAAAACCTCCAGAGACCCCCTTATAAGTATCTCTGAACTATCTGACAAATACTTAAAGACCCCTGGAACTTAAGACCTCCTTAACTATTCAAATTTTCAACCAAGCCCACAATTCCAATTTTTCAGAAATAGCAGAATGAAGTCTTCAGATTCTGAGATTCTGAGCAGAACAAGCTTAAACCACAATGACTTGGGTCTAAGAACTGAGCTGTAGAACATAAAGCCAGCGGATTAGAAGAAAGGAATTCAGTCATGCTAAGGGTTCCAGTGATTTCAATTTTATTCTTAGAAAAATTATGCTGGATGGTGGTCCAGTATTCTGCATTCCTCCGCTTCAGATGATGGAGAAGGAAAGGTTCCAGACTCCAGAGATTTGGATTTTGGAGACCTGTATCATTTGAATGTGCCTCCACTCAGCGATGGCATGGCAATGAAGAAGCATCTCATGGGTTTTTACTTTCCTCTTTTTACCCTTTTGGTTTTGATGTTTCAACAAATTATGTGGATTTAGATGTGGATTTACATGAAATACCCGAGTAGATTAATTAGAAAGGATTCTATCAATAATTAACTTTACAGAAAACAATTATGTGGGGACTTAGAACAGTGTTAGTGTATAAAATTAACTTTTCGTTCCTTCTTGTTGAAGATTATCTCCAATTCTTCATTGGGAGTGAGATGGGAGACGCCAGCATCATCGAGATAGCCGACGGTTAGTTGTGTAGGTCTTCCAACCGGTTACGTTAGTTTTATTAGGAGCTTAAAGCTGAGCTTAGGAGGTTCTTGGACCAGCATGATCATGTGTCTTGGATGCTGTCTGCTTTCTCTTCGCCACCCTCTGCCATCTGGAATGGTGTTGGCGCCTACTCCGCTTTAGATTCGGCTTTGGCCACTTGACCTCTCCAGAATCAACAAGCGCACAACAATCTAAACCCGGTGCTGAAATTGTTCTTTTTTACATGGTTTCAAAATCAGACCGGACTGTACGGTTGGACCGGAAAATTAGAAACTGGTTAGGTGATTGGTTCCATTTTACCTCATAACCACTATTTTGTTAAAAACTGTTGATTTGGTCAGCAAACCACTGACCCAACCGGTCGAACCGTTTGAACTGTCCAATGGTTTTGGCTATTTTTTATTTTTTTTATTTTTGTCAGAACGGACCATCCATTTGGTTCAACGGTTAGACCGTTTGACCCCAGAACCGGACCTCTGACTGGTTCAATTTTAAAAACTTTGCTTTTTTAATTAAACGTTTCAATAAGGCTCTGTTCACTTTTCGGTAAGTTACTCGGGTAAATGCATTTACCCATTCTCTTTTATTTCTTATGTAAATAAGGCAATGACCATTTTATCCATAAAAATCCATTATTAAAAATGGCATTTTTGTCCCATTCAAGTATTGGCAACTTTCTCTCACCTAGGAGATGGGTATCACTTGCCCGGGAAAATAAACTTTCCCTAGTTCCCACATAAATCTAAAAGAAATAATATGGGATTCTTAGTCAATGGGAACCAAAATCCCATTAACCAACTTTTCCCTTCTCAAAATCGGCAAAAAGAACGCCCCCTAAATAATAAAGGGCATATTTTTAAAATTTGTTGAACAGTTAAAAAATAGAGGTAAGGTCAGTGGAGACTAGTGAGGGCAAAATTAGATTTTAGAAAAAGTTTTAAAGTGTCTGTCACATGTAAATGGAATCTGATGAATTACTAACGAAGGGGTAGTATGTGTCGTTTATGTCATTCTTAAAGGGTACTTTAAATAATGACCAAACTAATCCTAATCCTGTGTTAAATAATTGTTTGAAAGAAAAAATAGGTAAAAAAGAATTAAAAAATATCTCTTCTTTTATCTTACTCTAACCCAAAGGTCCCAAGCACATTTGGATGAAAAGATGAACCCCAAATCTCTTTTTTCAAAATTGAAAAAAAACAAAAAAAAAAAACCCTCTTAGATAGAGGGTTTCATTGTGGAATAACTTTTGTTCATGGAAAACTCAAAGAGGGGTGGTATAGTAAATGCACAAAAACCATTTAATTGTCACCTAACCATAACGAAAGTGAACTTACATAAGAGTGTACACCCAGTCATAAATTAAAGAGAGGCAGATATGCATCCTCTTAGAGACCCCCAAACAAGAATCCTTCCTTTGTTTTTGTGGTGACTAAGAATTTAATCCCTTTCCCCCCTGCTCTAGATCCTCCCAAGATCGATATCCCACTAAAACCTCTTTCATTGAAAGGTGGAGAAACCGGCTACATCTTCTTCTCTAAGGCGGAGATTAATCTTTTTATGCCCATTTTGATTTTGCTTTGGTTGGAAAGTGTGCCTATGGGTGCCCATCTTTGGTAGAAATGTGGGAATTCTTGGTTGGCACGTTTCATTTGAGGAAAGGTGTTGTGGTTAGAAATTTGGATTCTATGCATGTTTTATTTTGTTCTGAAGAGAGGCTGAATATCTTATGGTTTGGATGAAGGAGGCATTTTCTATATTTCTGCCTCCTTAAATGGATGCCTAGCATGGAGATAAGCTGGGAACCTTCGGTGGTTTCGGCCTAGATCTTCTTTCTCCTTTTACCGGTATATTTTCACAATGACATGTACACCAATTGATCACATGCAAGTTGATATTGCAACCTCAAGGCTAAGAGATCACATCTTCACCCCACAGCATATCCCCGCCATGCATTGGAAACATCTCCTGATGATAGTATCAGTTTCCGATGATGTCATCATCGGGAGGTGTTCCCAATACACAGCGGGGATGTGCTATGAGGCATTGTGGGGCGGCCCCTTGTGAGGTGGAAATGTGAACTCCAAGGGTAAACCAAACGATAGTTGCTAGGGTTTGTATTGAGTTGGATTTGTTAAAAGGAGAAACCCTCTAGGGTTTGGATCAACATAGAGAAGGAGGGTTACTGGCAAAGAATCATATATGAAAATATTCCCTAATACTATTCTTTTTGTTTCAAATATGGGCACAATGTAGTGGTTTGCAAGCAAAAGGAAAAAAAAAAGAAAAAGGAAGCAAAAGGCTGTATTGTTGATCTCAAGCCTTTAGGCTTTTGGTTCGCAGGATGTTGTACCTCAAGAAAGTAAAGCGAAAGGCCCTATGATGAAGCAGTTTTATTAGAAAATTGGAAATAAGGTTGCCCTGGGTGTTAATTTTGTTGTGATTATTGATAAACCTACGACTTTTGTTGCAGTTATATATAGATGTTGAAATTAATGCTCAACAGCATCCTGAGCCTTCACATGATATTCTAGCTTTCCCTTTGGATCTAGATGATAACATAAAAACACTAAGAGGGTGATAGAAAAAGCACTTGAAGGTCACAATGCCCAACTAAATTTTTTTCTAGAGAATGAGAATGCTTTAATGGAAAAAATATGATTGTATGAGGCATTAGAAAAGTGCAATGATGAAAGGCCATATTTTTCTATGCCTATGGTAAATCATTGGTGTCGAGATGATCAAGAAATTGGAATCAATGACAACCTGCAATTCCTTTTTAGCCGAGCTTGTCAAGATAGAGCTTAGGGCTCTCCTAAAGCAAGACACAACTAGGATTCTGAGTATGTAGCAATTTCTATTAAGAAAGGAGATCATGTTGATGAGAACCAGGTTAGAGAATCCATAGAGAAGAATGAGTCAAATCATGATTGGGTGATAGTGGAAACAATAGAAAGAACACTAAGTCCAAGAAGGTCCAAAAGATGATTCAACTAGAAGTTTGCATATCATCAATACAGTCTTGAAGGCGGTTAAGCTGTTATAATTTATTGGCCAGCTGGACTCTATCGCACCATCTTGTATTCACTATATATTCTCCAAAATGTTAATACAATACATAGCATTCATTTTTCTACTCAGATTCTTAGATAGAATAAACAAAGGTTATCGTCCATGGTATTCTTCTTAAGTTTCTTTTGGTTTTTTTGTTTTGATTTTGTTGAAATAACTTAGTTTATTTTAAGTTTAGTGCCACAAGGGCACCTTTGTAATTTTCCCTTTATTTTTTTATGTATGATCACCCTTAGTATACATACTAAACAAGCTGGCACCGCCAGTTGACTTTTCCTCTCTCAATTCTGTTTCTCTTTTCTCTCTTCTCTCTTCTCTCTTCTCCTTCTCTTCTCTCTGTTTTGGAATCATACCACTTCAGCACCAAGAAAACATGTTATCAAAGAGGCAGATCCAATCTTAGGACCAAGGTGGCACTTCTTTCCTCTTTTGTCTATTGGTGATTGAACCAAAGAACAAGTTCTCTGGTGGATGTGTGGGAAGCTAATTGCAAGATTGTTCTTTTTTCTTGGTCATGAGCCCATAAACTATCAGAGGAAAAAAAATCGAATGCTATGAGTTTTTTCTTTTTTTTTTTCAGTTTTTCTTCACCAGTTTTGTGGATCGAACTGATCCTTTTGTACCCAAATGAGTGGGTTATGTGGGTTTAACGATCTATGGCTGGTGTGAGAGTGTCTCTTCTCATTGTATGTGGATCGAGTGATCCTTATTATGCCCTAAAAGGTGTTATTTCTTCAAGACTACAGATCTGTAACTATTGCGACAGTAGTTTATTTCTTTCTTCTATTCATATTGAACCTAGGTTACTGTGTGAAAACTGTTTTGTTGCTAGAGGGAATGGTCAGATCTATCTTTTGATATACCTTACACATCTGAAATGGTGTGTGATTAGTCTGAAAGGGTTCAGTAGGGCCGAAATCTTAGAACAATAATGGTGTGTGACCAGCTATGATTTCTTTGTGTGAGAACAAGTTTTTTTTTTTTTGTGTCCAGAAGTGTGGTTGAACTGAGACTGTAACCTAGTTTTTTTACTGTACTATGGGTCTGAACTAAATTGAAAACTTGTTCTCTAGCTAGTTTGTGACTGATCAGATT